TCTGCCACTTAGTATTCAGTCATGTATAGAGGCTTCATGGTCTGCAAACTGAGGGTTCTTTCACTGAAATTATGTGGTTTTTTTTTTTAAACACCATAAACAACTCTGTATTGGGGTACAGCCGATTAACAATGTTGTGGTAGTTTCAGGTGAACAGCAAAGGGACTCGCCATACATATACATGTATCCGTTCTCCCTCAAACCCCCCTGCCCATCCAGGCTGGCATGTAACATTGAGCAGAGTTCCTGTGCTATACAGTAAGTAGGTCTTTGTAAAGATAGCAAATTTCCAAAGTAGGGTGAAGGAAGTTATTTACTTAAAATCTCGGCAACTAAGGAAGCCAGGGAATTAGATGCAATAAAGAGTAATAATAGAATCACTAAGTTACAATCGTAACAAAAGTTTTCATTTATTAACTACAAATTATACCTTAGCACTACAGGAATCCTAACAAAAATCTCATGCTATCCTTTTAACAATCCTTCGATGTTTAAAGACACTGAACCTTCAAAATCCCATCCTCTCACCTACCCAAACAATTCTCTCCTTTTTCTCCTGTGTTAATTTCCTCACATTACCGACTCAACCTGTAACCAGTGATTGATTCACGCTTTGATCACAGTCCCTTCCTTGAAAGACTTGGCTTTAAAGGCATCACTCATATTCTCCTATATCTCCTATTATCCTCACAAGTCACTCCTCTTCTAGTTTTCTTTGTTAGTTTTCCAATTTTCTGACCTGTTATATTGGAATGCCCCAAGGCTCAGTTTTGAGTTCTCTTTTTTCCCCTATCCTCACCCCTTGGTGATTTCATCCAGTTTCCTTCATCTTCCCCAGTTTATCAGGCTAGCTTAGACTCCCGTTTTCTCCATATCGACTCTATTACCTAATCCTGTTGGTTCTACACCTAAATGTACCCAAAAGTTGACCATTTCTACTGCTGCCACCCTAGGTTGAGCCGCCACCATCTCTTAACATGGATTGTAACAGTAATCTCCAAATGGGTCATATCATTTGTACTTTTACCTCCTTTAGCCTATCTATCCACTGTGTACTGGAGAGGATCTAGTCAGACCACCTCACTCCATTCAAACCTCCCTATAGTTTCCCATTTAACTCAGAATAAAATCCAAAATCTTTATACAATGGCCTACAAGGCTGAAAATGATTTAGCTAGCCTGTGTCCAAACTGGAACACATCTACCTCTCATCCTGCTCAGCCATGCTTTTGTCACCTTGATAACCCTAAATATGCAAAACATGCTTCAGCCTTAGGGTCTATTGCTCCCTAAACCTGAAACACTCTTATCACAAATATCTTCAAGTTTGTGTGTCCGTGCTCAGTTGCTAAGTCGTGTTCAACCCTTTGTGACCCCATGGACTGTAGCCCACCAAGCTTCTCTCTCCATGGGATTTTTCAGGCAAGAATACTGGAGTGGATTGCCATTTCCTCCTCCAGGAATATCTTTAAGGCTCACTTCTGTAACTCTTTCAGGTCTTTATTCAACTACCCCTTCCAGTGAAACCTTCCCTGACATTCCTATTTATTACTGCAACTCCTCTACCATCAATCTCTAGTACTCCCCAGCTCCATTTTCTAGTATATTTTTCCAGAGAACTAATGGTAACATTACCTTATATTCCATATGTAATGCCTATTTATTATCTGTTTATGTACATGAACTAAGACATTTTAAAGTTCTTAGAAAAAGAACTTATTTTAGTTTTACCAATAGTAAGTCAAAGATTTCCTTTTAGTAGACTAATAAAAGTATAAGCAATTTGGCAAGACATATTTGCAACATTTCTTTTAAAAGCTCTTTGACCCTTCAGTTCTGCTTTGGTGCACCTGCTCCATGGAAACAATCCAAAACATAAGGGAAAACTATGAGGATAAATATTCAGAAGTAAAAACTTTTCCTCCCACCAGAGTAAATACTTACCACTTAGAATAGTACTTGATCTAAATAGGCAATATTTACAGAAATGAACTAAGAAACATTACTATAAATGCTTAAGATGCCATTGTAAATTAGCAGTGAGTTTTGGGGAATTGTATGCTCTATTTTCTTTTTTTAGAAATTTCTAACATTACCTGTATGTGTAAATCTTTTATGAGAAAAAAAAAAATCTACACACAATACTGAGTCACAATGTAGTAATCACACTGTAGTACTATAAATGCTTATAAAAAGTTTCCCAAACTTTTATTTCTCCTCTCAACATGCATCAAATCAAATAAAGACAACTATTTTGTGAGAAGCCAACAAGGCATTTACTCCTTCTATTACCTGAGTGGAGTTAGATAGTTGGTTTTTCCACGGCTCCTCTGCGCTGCTGGTCAGGTTTGTGCGGTTATGAGGTAGAGTGAGTGCGTTTCGCTGCAGGTAAGGCACGTTTCCATTACTTCCACTTCCTGTTATGTGATTATTGCCTATCAAAATAGTGTCTGTACTTCCCAGCGTTCTTGATGTGCTACAGGGAACATGGCCTGCAGAAAAGGGTCCATTGGCCAAAGGCTGCCCAGGGCAGGCAGGGCGGACTCCTGGCTGAGACACGCTAGGCACTCTGGTCAGAGCAAGCTGTGGCTGCTGGCCAGAGACTGAGTTTGTAGGCAGTGATGAGTCAGCTGATGGCCCGTTAGGAATTCCAGTAGATCGTACCTGTGCAACTCCTGTTTGTCTCATCTGTCAAAAACAAAACAAAACAAAACAAAAATGCTGCCTGTGTGGCCCTTAAGGGACAGAATCAGAATATGAAGATACATAACAAGATAATCTCTGATTTTACCCTAACATTTAATTTCTCTAGGTTAAAAAACACCTTTTTGAAACAAGCAATTGTGTTTCTTCACATTCAGATTAGCTTCCTCAGAAAAGCAGGAATCTACTTAATCTTAAGAAATATCTTTTTAGTAAATGACAAAAGAAAGCAGTTGAAAATTATGGAAAAGAAATCAAATTTACAGGTCTCCTCCCCATCACAAAATAGGGGATCTTAAAATTCCATTTTATCACATTTATATGCCAGATTCTGAGTTAAACTTGAAAGAACCTCACCTGAGTTTAGGATGTAGTTTGTTAAGTATTAAATAAATAAAACTCATGGAAAATAACATGTAAATTAATACTAAGTAGTGTTCAAAATCAAATTTATAGCTGTTTTTTTCCCTAAAAATCTCTGTCCATTATCAGTATTTTAAGAAGAACAGATAATTAAATCCCACCAAACACTAGTACAAACTAGAGGTGGGCATAAACATACTCTCTAACATGATATTCCAGTCAACAAAAATATTCAAATGCTAACAAATTTTAGGGGGAAAACAATGCTGTACACACTTGGTGTTGCTGCATTAAGACAAACTGACTTTCCAGCTGTTCCAGCATCAGTTTCTGTGCTGGATTTAAATTATTTCTATTTGCACGGAGCTGTTCCAAGTGCTAGAAGAAAAAGAAGAATGCAGTCAAAGACATATCTAAGAAACAAGCTCATTATTCTAAGCAACCTTTCTATAAAACTCTGAACGCTGTCTAGTCAAAGATACTGATTTCTGACCAATGGCAATCAATCCCAAAATGAAGTCCTTTAAGAAGTTTGAGAAAGTTAAGGAATAAATATTTATCTCAGAAGGTTTACTGTAATGGGATCTTTGAGATAAATGGGCATGAGATTTTATTCATCAATAATTATCAGGATTTACACAGAAAGTTCTTTAAGCTAAAAAATGCTTTATGACAAGTACTAAGAAGCACTGTATGGAACAGGAAAGTCTGAAGACAATCTGACTATCCAAAACTAGTAATTTGCCTAGGTAAAAGCATGACACCTACATAAAGAAACACGATGTAGTCACAGAAGGATTAGGAAGCTCTTAATATATTGACATGGAAAGGTCTGCATAATACACTATTTAACAGTATATACAGCATTTTATCATTAGTATAAAGAGAGAAGAAAATAATAACATATGAGAGAAAGGAGACGAGTTATTTGCTTGGACATGCATGACATCTCTTGAAAGATAGATAAGCAACAAGTAATACTGGTTTTCAGTTAGGAGTAGAACTGAGTGGATAGGGATAGAAGGAGGAGAATTTATTCTATATACTCTAAACTCATACTTAGGTGGTTTGAACCATGAGAATATATTGGGGGGTGGGGCAGAGGTTAAGTGGGAAAAGAAAAAAAAGAATGAATTATCTCTATTACTCTGGTAAATGTAGGCTCAATTTACTTATGTACCTATTAACTGAGTTTACTGCCATTCAGTTTTAAGAAGTAATACTTAAAAAAACTTAGAACTTTAGTACCTCTACTTTTCTTTAATAGGAAAAACAATCTGTCAAAAGCATGTTTTACATACCTGTAATTTCTGTGGTGTCATACACCATGAATGACCTTGTTGCTGTACTGGAGGATGTGACACTGCATGGCCACTACTCCAATTATCAGAAGTATTCTGAGGAAAATTGATTAAAAAAAATTAAAGAATATTTGGTTAAATCCAGAGAGTTAACAAAATGACTAATGGAGGTCAAATGACTATGAAACTGGAATATTTACATATAAAAAAGATGTTATGACATTTAGTTCTTTTAAAAGTAATTTTACATGCATAGTAAATTTGGGAACTTAAAACTTAAGAAAATATTGATTCTTTAATTAGCCACCCAAAAAGGCCCACCCCTAAACTATGGCCCAAATGACTAACCTAAATACCACACTGTCCACTAGGTTCAATGTTAAAGTTTATTTTAATGTCAGTAGAAAGTGATGATGAAAAGTTGTGTTGAGATCTTAACGGCAGGGAGATGAATAAAATGATTTGATGAATGCAAATTTATCCCTACTTTCCATATTTAATATGATACTAAGAATTTGGAATGAAAAACTCAAACCTTTCACTCATTGATGTCCACAGATTTAAAATAAAGGACAGGAGATGTTCAAACTGCACAAGTTCAGGGCAGTTAGGAATTTCTTTCTTGACTGGGATTTTCTATTTCTCTAAAACATATACCTTTGTTGGACTAGATGTTCTTTTCCTCTTGGCAGGACTGGACAGGTCATCTACTTGGCTAGAAGGAATCATGTGTAGTGGCAAGGGTTGCTGTGAAATTGGTGTCTGACTGAGGCCTAATACAGGTTCAGTATTTGGATGATGAGGTTTACATGCCTAAGAATCACAGAAGGAAGACAAAAATAGGGTTCTATATATTCTTAATTCATTCCTTCAAATTATACAACTTTACAAGCTGCATACTTTTCAAATCTATGTGGACATCGCTGAATGGTAATTATTGAAAATCAAATGAATCATCAGTGGAGGAATGTGTACCTTCCTTTGAAAAACTTGTTTCAAAAATTAAATAAACAACTGCAGCATTATGTTAAGAAATTTCCTTCAAAACCATGAAAATGCATAGAGGTCCTAAACTGGCACCCCAAAATTTCTTCCCATATCAGAGGGAGTTTTAATTTGATCTAAATTCCCTTCACAATTAAATCAAGAGTCTTTTCATAAATAAAAGCCTCCTGTGCTTAGTAAAATACGCTTGACTACTACAGATTGAAAAGAACCCTTAAAGCTGGGCACCTGCAGAACATAACCCAACTTCTCACCTGCTGTGCTGTGTTCATGGCACCCTGCCTGGAGGTAAGCTCTGCGGGGATTGGTAGGCTCCACGCCTCCTCAATACTAGGAAGTAATTTAGTTTTATTCTGTAGACTACCTTGTGGAAGGTTACACAACTGAGCCTAGGAAAAATTATGTAAAAAGCAAATTTAACACAAGCCTACTTGAGTAAGAGCAAGTCCACTAAATCTTCCTAAATGCTATAACTAATTGTTTTTAAGAAAATAGATCCTTAATTTGGGGTTTCAGAAAGATACTAAGTATAATGAGGGAAACGGGAATATAAACCTTTGTGAGAATTAAAACAAAGTTGAGCTCTGTTTTCAGAGTTCTTATAGCTGTCTTCTCATGAAACTCCAAGCAAGAGTGAAAGACAGTGTTTGTGTTCTTTTCTCTAAAATGCTATGACAACTTAAAAATGTAGACAGTACATAGAAAAAAATTATGTAAATTAATATGTATTAACAGGGTAAATGCACAAAAGAGCATCTTTTAAAATACTGTATATCTTACTTAAAATGAAAAGTAAAATAATATTACAAGCTATGGTATGTTTACAAAATATGGAAACAAGTTATAGACATCAAAACACAACTAGACAAACTTCCCCAGCCACCCTCCTCCTGCCTGAGTGTCATGGGGAAACATGTGCCTTTAAAAAACTGCAATTTAAACATTTTACCTGTAAATACTTAATTCGTGCTGCAAGTGCAGAGGTATTACTACAACTTTTGCTTCTGGTTGCATTTAAGTAGCATTTAATGGCATCCTGAGGCTGGTTGCAGGATTCGTAGAGTGTGCCTAGGTCCATCCAGGCTGCAGCATGGCCATGGTCCAATTGTACAGCACAAATATAGGCCTGTAAAGCATCCATAGGCTGATTTTGCTGTTGATATAGCACGCTGGAAAGAGAAATTAAGAAAAAATAAGTCGACTAAAAAGAATGGCTTAGCTTTATAACATGATGTAAACCACGAAGTACGTTATATGTGACGCAACTATTTCTACACAAAGTCTTACCCTATTGAACACCATGTATCTGCACTTGCTTCTGACTTATCAATAGACTGCCTGTAAGATATAAAGGCATCCTGAACTTTCCCAATACTTGAATAGCACCTAAGAGGGGAAGGGAAAAAAAATAAGAAAATATGATTAATACACATTAATTAATGTGCTGGAAGACTATGTCAAAGCAAGTAAAAATCTAATAAGCAAACAGATTTATGTGAAGTGTGAATATACATGACAATAACACTATAATTAACCCTTCAATAAGCTTTATTATAGACTATCTGATAGTGTTTATCAGTGCAGCATACTTTAGCACCTATTAAAATAGTTAAATGCCATATCACTTCAATATAATAATATTGAGAGATACACACACACCACTCTACTTATACAACTTGATCTCTGGTTTTCCGAAGAGTTAAGAATATAGTTAAAAACCAAGAAAAACATTCTATGTTGGTAAGACTTGCTGAATCAGATTTCAGTTTTCCTTTCTTAAATAATAAAAATAAAGGAAACAACTCTTTAATACACACAAGACACAAACATAAGAAATAATATCAAGCTGACTATCAAAAACAGTATAAAACAGAATTAAGTACAGTATTTAATGACTAGTAAGGGTAGCAAGGTATGATTAAAGTTTCAGGGAACTGGCATTTTTCTTAATGTAGATGTACCTCATGGATACATAAAACAGCAGGCAAAATTATAAAAATACAGAAATTATATTCTTCAAGTTTGGCACTAAGGGAAAAAGGAAAAAATAAAACCCAGTCCATCGTCAAGGAGTTTACAATTTAACTGAGGATTGAAGACATATTATAAATAGCATGATGCCGTATCAAATGGCTAGCACAGATAAGAACTGGTCTGAAAATTTAGGGTAGGGTAGAAGAGACCACACTACACACTACTGGGTTTAGGAAAGGTAAGAAAGGAAAGGGTAAGAATAAAGGATCTGAATGTGTGTAGATGCATACTGTTTAAATCAGTGATTTGCAATTACCAACTAGTTTACAGTAATTTGGCCAAGCAAACAAAATGGGAAAAAAAGACATATACAAACATACATTTTCCATTAAACCAATATTTGTATTGCAGTTGACTTACTCTGAAATACTATTGACTGAGTAAATAGCAAAAAAAAAAAAAAAGTAAATGTCAAGTAATCCAAAAGTCTGAGAACCACTGATTCAGGCAGAGAATTTGAGAAAAGGCATTTTGAAATGCTACTTGAATAGCATGGGCAAAACTTATATAAGTTACATCTTTTATATATATATAAAAGATATATCAGATATATCTTATATATATGATAGCACAGATATAAGTGGTAGAGAATTTTAAATCCAACCCAAGAATATCGTGAAGTTTGTTCTTCTAACAAGGGGAATGGCACGATGAAAGTATTTTATGGGAATATTTATCTGCTAACAATGTGTAGCAATAAACCAAAAGTGAAAAAAATTATAAACAATAAAAAAGAAGGCAGCTATATTTACTGGCTTGGAATAGGCCCAAATTAGGGTGAAAGTAATGGAAGTGACAACAAAGAAAAAGGAGAAACAATAAACCAAAACACAGATAAAAACTTTGTGACAGACTGATTAGATATTCATGGGGGTAGGATTATAATTTATTTTTTAAGTCTGATAAATAGAGGGGGGGGGTGTCAGAGATGGTGATATCATTGGCAAAAACAAAGGAGAAGGGGCTGGTTCAGAGAAGAAAATGATGAATGTGGTTTGAAATATGCTGACTTTGACATGAGATGTAAACATTAAAACAGGTAATGTTAGATAAAGGATAGGAAATATTGTCCTGGTGTTTAACACTTTGAAGTGTAGAAACTGATATTTGGAATTCATCCATCTGGAAGAGAGGGTATAAGAACACAGGATACCTACAAAGGAGAGGTAAAAATAAGCCTGAAAAGTGAAGTGAAGTAAAGGTCGCTCAGTCGTGTCTGACTCTTTGTGACCCTATGGACTATACAGTCCATGGAATTCTTGAGGCCAGAATACTACAGCCTTTCCCTTCTCCAAGGGATCTTCCCAACCCAGGGATCGAACCCAGGTTCAATCCAGGTCTCCTGCATTGCACGTGGACTCTACCAGCTGAGCCACAAGGGAAGACCATGAGATCACTAATCTTGGGGTTGGGGCAATATAAAGAAAGGTGAGTGACAGAAACAGGCAGAGTCCGAGAGTGTCTGTAAACTGTTTTATGACTAACAATGACAAACAGGGACACCACAAAGAAAAAAAATGTTTACCCAATAGTGGAAAACATGCTCTGTCTGTTGTTCTTAATTAAATCAAAGCCAATCTCAGATTTATAGAGCAAATTCACCTAACTGCTGGGAGGAATAAGCAGTAAATCCCACAACCTATGTTTTCATACTTGATTCCTACAAAGTGAAAGTAGGGAACCAATGTGCCCAAATACAAATTCCTCAATCCAACTATCAAACACTTTTCCTCTAATAAAACTTAAACAGGCTCCCGTGAGACAGTACTGTGTAACTGAAAAAGCTCTGGATGTTGAACCAAGGATCTAGTCCCTGCTCTGCTACTAATTACCTGCATGATTGTGACCTTGGACAAAGCATTTGACTCCTCTGAGCTCCCTTTCTAAAATGTGCAAAATGACAAGGGTGAACTAGGTGACCTCCTGTCTCTCCTAGCTCTGCTGCTGCTGCTGCTAAGTCACTTCAGTTGTGTCCGACTCTGTGCGACCCCATAGACGGCAGCCCACCAGGCTCCCCCGTCCCTGGGATTCTCCAGGCAAGAACACTGGAGTGGGTTGCCATTTCCTTCTCCAATGCATGAAAGTGAAAAGTGAAAGTGAAGTCGCTCAGTCGTCTCCAACTCTTAGCGACCCCAAGGACCACAGCCTACCAGGCTCCTCCATCGATAGGATTTTCCAGGCAAGAGTCCTAGAGTGGGGTGCCATTGCCTTCCCCCTCCTAGTTCTAACATTCTATAATTCTGTGATAACAAAGTCAATAACAAAGTGCCAGTTTTAACAGCATTACCTCATTATACTTTCATTATGATATATACATGCCAAACGACAAACAAATGCAATCTTCAACACAGACCTGATGCAGAGATAAGTAACCAAGTGCCTCAGAAATATTAGGGTCATCGACTCCCAATGACATTTGAGATCTTCCTTCAGAGCTTTAATAACTTCTAAAATCTAATTTATTTATAAATATTTTCTCATGACAAAACAGACTTGAAGCAACACATGAGAAGTCAGTAAAAAAAAAAGGGTATGAAATGTAAACATTAAAGAAAAAAGTCTAAAACAGTCCTCAAATTATATTACAGATAAAAAATACTGAACACCAACATGATAATCTTGAACCCCCAAACAAGAATAAGTATCCTTTATCTGAGAAGTCAGCAAAGTATATTTGGAAAATTCTATCCAGAAAGGTTCAAATAAAAAAACATCTCAACGATTTCAAAGGTAAAACCACTTGTGAGGTGGGAGGATGACACACCTCCTATGGAATAGTGCTCACTGAGCTGAAAATTACAGAATTACTAAAGTACTAATTTGGGGGAATTCCCTGGAGGCCCAGTGGTTAGGACTCTGGTCTTTCACTGTGGGGGCCTAGGGTTTGATCCCTGATCTGGGAACTAAGAACCCACAAGTGGTGTGGCCAAAAAAAAAAAAGTAATTTTTGACATTTCAAAATTATATATTAATTTTGTATGCATAGAATTAAGAAAAAATATATTAAAAAGACATCCACACTATTGTGCTATATTAAACTACTAATCTTTATCTTAGATCAAAAGAAAAATACTTTCTGGTACACATTCCTTTTAATCTGTATTAACAGAAATTTTCATTTATAAACATTAACACTAGAGGCAATGACTAAGCAAGACCCTACTTTACTACAAAGAGCTCCTTTTGGTCACTATATGAAGCCTCTCACTGCACAATACTAACAGTAGTAACAGAGCGAGCTCCAAAGGCAAATGGTGTTCAATTAGAGCATTTATTCCATTTACTAAATAACCATTTACCAGGTAATATGATACAAAGATGGTTAAGATTCAGTTTCTGCTCCCAAAGATCTTTAATGAAAGAGAAAGACAAAGTTTGGACTCTCAAGCTTTATTAATGAGCAACTGAATTTAGATGACTTTATAAGCCTGGCAAGGAATTACAAAATTACTACCAAAAATAGCTACTTTTCCACTCAACTATTATAGGATATTATTAATGAGTAATAAAAAAAATTTGAAACATCTTAATATTACTCCCTCTCATACAAATATACTTGGCTAAATTTAAAGGAAAAAAATGACATACTAAAATATAAAATACTAGAATACTAAAATTAATGTGATTATATGGCTAACTCAAAGTAAAATACTCCTATAGAAAAAAAGAAAGGGAAAAAGTTTAAAATTAAAACAAAACAGTGTAATTTCCAAAGAAAACATAAAATTAAAACCTTTAGCATGGGAAGGTTACCTAAGAGATCTAACCAGGGGCTTTTCAACCTCAGCACCATTGACATTTTGTGACAGGTAATCTTGTACTGTAGAGAACTGTTCTAGTAGCATTCTCCATAGTTGTGATAACCTAAATCTCCCTACAGACATTATGAAATGTCTCCCATGGGGCAAAACAGCACCTTCCCATCCACCCTACTACCATTGAGAACCATCGATCTAATTCTCTTATCAACAGAAAACTGAAGCCTCAAAATGTTTAATCGTTCAATCCAAGATTCCACAAATAGTAGCCAAGACTTGAATGCAAGTATCTCAGATAACTCCTAGTAGACTGATCTTTCTACCATACTGCAAAAGCTAAAACCAATTAAGAACTAAAATACAATCAGATAATGGTCCAAAAATATATTCTATCAGATACATAAACATGAGATATATTTCATATAATCAGTAAGCAAAATTCAGACATTCAAAGTACAAGAAAAGTTTATAGACTTGCAAAAAAATATTTTCACTAACGCCACTTCTCCTTTCCAACGAATTGAATAATAATGTATCTACTTTCTCACTGTAAAACTTCAACTACAACTATGCTTTGCAATCTACTATTAATGTCCATTCTAAGGTAAATATCACTAATCAAAAGGATAACGGGCAAAGTTCCACTAACTACTGGTAGTCATCAGGCAGAATGAAAAATTAGTTCTCTGTTCTATTTAAATAGACATATGAACACTAGAAATCAAAAGGAAAGGCATTTAAATACCTGAATGAATAATTAGTATCTGCCAAGAGTTTTTGAAAACCAGCAATAATTTAAGTCAAATGAAAATCCAATAAGCAAAATAAGAAATATCCTGATGGACCAGATGATGGTATAAGAAAACCACCACATTCAGAAGTTCTTTTATTTTTTATCTAGAAATCTTCATTATAAAATATTTAAAAGGGAAAATATACTGATCACATTATTAGTAAACTGATATTTCAGATAATTCAAAACTCTTGGCTGCAATAAACAAAAGCAAAACCTAAGTTTCTGATAAATCAGTCTTACCTTCCAAGGAAATACCAAGACTGGCCAGAATTAGGATCTGCTTCCAAGGACTTTTGGAGATACTGAATAGCATAGCTTTCCTTGGTGGCTTTATCTCCCAGGAGATCCACAGTATGATGCATCCAACCTATAGTAAATGATTAAAAATATTTACATAAATGACTTAATTAATCTACTACTTAAAAGAATATAGAGCAGAAACAAAAACATAAAAAATACTCTTTTCAGTCAATTTATTCATTTAGCTTGGCATACACACTCCCCAAATTTAGAACTGTCAATTCAGTCCTAAAAAAGTTTTGTCTTTAAGGTACAGTCAAAGCAATGAAGAACTTTCATTCCAGAGAAATTAAAACAATTTTAAGTATTGACTTGTCACTTACTAGATTACAAACAATAGTTCTATTCTCTAATTTTTGTATTTGAAAAAATTTCAACATACGAAACAAAGAATATAAGATGATAAATCTTATTTACTGTTTCATGTAAAACTTAATGTGCACTTAAAAATCTCTATTAAGAGGGATGGGATGGAGAGGGAGGCGGGAGGGGGGACCGGGATGGGGAACACATGCAAATCCATGGCTGCTTTATGTCAATGTATGGCAAAAACCACTACAATATTGTAAAGTAATTAGCCTCCAACGAATAAAAATAAATGGAAAAAAAAATAAAATAAAAATCTCTATTAACACCATGTTTACTTCCAAGGAGTAAATATAAAGCTATATCATCAATGATAGTTCAGGGTAGCACACACAACATACAATCCTACCTTATTGGCACTGGCTACATATATTCACAACTCATGTAAAATAAAAATTAAAATCATTTGACAATTTTTTTTAAAAACTCCAAGACTATAAGAAAGAGTCCATTCAAATGCTGCAAATAAAAATGATACAAAATGGGTAACACAAATCTTTACTAAACAAATTTAGATGGTATACATAATCTCGCTTATCTGTGGAATCCAAAAAAGTGAAATACGCAGAAGCAGGGAGTTGAATGGTGGTTACCAGGAGTGGTAAGATAGAGGAAATGGGGAGATGTTGGTCGAAAGAAACAAAGTTGAAGTTATACAGGATGAGTAAATCTAGAGAACTAACATACAGCATTATGACTGGATGAGAGAATAGATTTGAGGTGCTCTCACCACAGGGGGGAAAAAAAGGTAACTATGTGAGGAGATGGATATGTGGGACAGCTTGACTGTAGCAACCATTTCACTATGTACAGGTATATCAAAACATCATCTTGTACACCTTAAAAAAAACTGTTATGATAAAACAAACAAGCTGACTATGTAAGTAATCAAAACACTAGATCATGGATTACTAGCACATGGAATAATTTGACTTAATGTGCCAGGGAACCATAATTTCAGTTGTGGATCAATTCAAATTCACAAAATCAGCTGTTTTTCCTGTATAGTTCACAGTACACAAAACAAACAAGGACCCTTATTTTCTGATATTTATTACAGTTGCTGTGCTCCAAAAGAAAGAGGGCTGAGTTATCATGTTTTATGGAAATATAAGTCAATCACACACTTATTCATCTGTTCCTCCCTTACCTCTCCTACTATTACTGCTAAACACAGGACCTAGAGTAACAGACTCTAAAAGGAGTTGCTTAAGCAGCAGTGACAAGCAAGTAGGAAGGATTGATGTGCAGGCATAAATTAGACTCAATAAGGGGAAGTATTTTCCCTTTCAAAACCATGGAAAGTTTACCTATACATTCAGCCAAAGAGGACAGGTTTGTGTGCATTTTTGCTACTGACACATTCTTCAGTGCAGCTAAAATGCATAAAAACTTATTTATAAATAATGTGAATTTAAAAAGTTTGTATTCACATTATTAGCTGAATGAGTAAGCTATCTCAAGGCATCAGTTTGTTCTTTTTACCTAAGAACACAAAACCTTTTTTGCTGTACTAATAAACTTATTTTAACTTAAATATACCAATTCACATTATCTTAACTCTGCAAGTAATCATTAAACACAAATACTTGACTATAATTTTTAAAAGTATGGATAACTCATAGATTAAAGAGATTAATCTATGAGATTAATCCAGAGATTAAAGACAAAATTAAAAAATGAAAGTTTTATATGAAAGCAATGTTTTTATTCTGTAAAGCTGATCACATAGTATGCATTAGTATCATGAAGTGAAAAAACTTAAGCTTAAATAATTTTAAAATTACATTAAAAACAGTCATGCTAACGATTATATTCTTTCATTTTCAACATTACAACAGAACTGCATGTGTAGAGAATCCATACTTTAGATGTTCCACATTTCTTACATAAAGATGTTTTAGTTAGTATTACTGACAGAGCTATGAAAGCAAGCTGATCAATCACTAAAAGACTTTAGGTAAATCACTTAACTTCATTGAGTTCTAATGGTATCTGGCACAAAGAAAGCATTCAATCCCCCTCACTCATGGTTAAGTACCAGTGTATAATTTTGAGCATTTAAAAGAAAAGTTACACTAAAGAATTGTAATAAGATTGACTGTGAGATAGACAATACTCAGCAGAAGGTGGAAATATGATGAGTTCAGATAAATTCTATCAACTTTGGAAAAGGAAGGAAAAGAAATAGGATATGTAAGTCATGTATTTACCATCAGCAACATGTAAAAAACATTAAGCAATGTACTTATAACACACTAAGTGAATATTATTACATACCCAACTGTTGTAAGACAGTTGCTTTTACTTGTGCAGAAAGGTTTTCTGTCTGCAAAAGTTGTTCATAAGCTTCCTTTGCAGAATGATACTTCCTCTAAAAAGTAGGAAAAAAGATTTAATGAAAATAAAATTAACATCTTTAAAGAATTAGCTCATGTTAAGTCTTAGACAATATTGATATTTCAGCATATTTTAAAAAATCAACTGAAAGATCAAAGTGCATTACTGAATGTTCCTCTAACTCTAGACAGTTATGGTTAATAGGCCATGTTTCAGAGTATCTAATACCAGTAAAACATTCAATACAACAAAGTATCATTAAAATATGACCTTTGAGTACTTCAAGTTGAAACCAAAGGATGTGAGACAGCATCATATGTATTCAGTAGAAACCTTATTTCAAATTTTGATCTTTCCATAGGCAAGTGATATGTTATATGACACTCTCTTGTAATGCTGGGCAGCAGTACTGAGCCACAGTTGCCAGTCAGTTACAAGATCATGAGGGTAAACAATCGATATCCTTCCAACCATTCTGTACCCATACAATCACTTTGATTTTCACCTTAGTTCAGTATTTAATAAGTTACATGAGATATTCAGCAACAACAAAAAAATAGGACCTTTAAGAATTTGCCAAGTCTTAATAGTTAAAAAGAAAATCATCTGAACCTATTTAATAACATAAACGATGTCCACTTTATTTAATAACACAAATGAAGCTAACAAAGTATTCTATTTCCAAGTGCATCACCTGTTTGCCTAGAAATACCAAGCTCCAAAGCAACTTAATATGAACAAATAGAGCACATGTCAAAACTGTTGTTATAAAATGAAGTACAAAAGCCAATGAAATCTAAGTTTAAAAGATATAATCACTGGTATATAATATATCCTATGAAAAAATTATCATACATACATGATTTTAAAGAAAACTCATAACTATTGTCTAATGATGTTTATAAGATTGCATGGGCAAAACTCTAAATGAAACAATTTACCCACAGTTCTCACCCCAAAAGTACTAATATGACTGAAACCCATTACTGCTACAGTCTGAAAGCTGAAGACAACTCCTCCCCATCCCTCCAAAAGGCGGGGGGGGGGGGGGGGGGGGGAGTCAACAAAAGAAAACTTTGTAAATATTACTTTTAGAATACACTTGGCAGAACAATGGATTAAAGTGGCTATGTCACTGATAGGACATAGCTAGCTGAGCAAACAAACCTTTCTCCCCAAAAAAGTAGAGACATAAAACTAGCTGTGTGAGCCTCAGGCAAATCACTTGAACTAGGATTCAACATCCATACAACAGATGTAATATTTTCTTTTTTTTTCTTTTTCCATTTATTTTTATTAGTTGGAGGCTAATTACTTTACAATATTGTAGTGGTTTTTGCCATACATTGAAATAAATCAGCCATGGATTTACACGAGTTCCCCATCCTGATCCCTTCTCCCGCCTCCCTCCCCATCCCATCCCACTAGATCTTCCCAGTGCACCAGCCCGGAGCACTTGTCTCACGCATCCAACCTGGGCTGATGATCTGTTTCACTCTTGATAGTATACTTGTTTCAATGTTATTCTCTCAGAACATCCCACCCTCGCCTTCTCCCAGAGTCCAAAAGTCTCTTCTGTACATCTGTGTCTCTTTTTCTGTTTTGCATATAGCATTATCGATACCTTCTTTTTAAATTCCATATATATGCGTTAGTATACTGTATTGGTCTTTATCTTTCTGGCTTACTTCACTCTGTATAATGGGCTCCAGTTTCATCCATCTCATTAGAACTGATTCAAATGAATTCTTTTTAACGGCTGAGTAATATTCCATGGTGTATATGTACCACAGCTTCCTTATCCATTTGTCTGCTGATGGGCATCTGGTTGCTTCCATGTCCTGGCTATTGTAAACAGTGCTGCGATGAACATTGGGGTGCATGTGTCTCTTCCAGATCGGGTTTCCTCAGTGTGTATGCCCAGCAGTGGGATTGCTGGGTCATATGGCAGTTCTATTTCCAGCTTTTTAAGGAACCTCCACAATGTTCTCCATAGTGGCTGTACCAGTGTGCATTCCCACCAACAGTGTAAGAGGTTTCCCTTTTCTCCACACCCTCTCCAGCATTTATTACTTGTAGACTTTTGGATAGCAGCCATCCAGACTGGCATGTAATGGTACCTCATTGTGATTTTGATTTGCATTTCTCTGATAATGAGTGATGTTGAGCATCTTTTCATGTGTTTGTTAGCCATCTGTATGTCTTCCTTGGAGAAATGTCTGTTTAGTTCTTTGGCCCATTTTTTGACTGGGTCATTTATTTTTCTGGAATTGCAGAGTTGCTTGTATATTTTTTAGATTAATCCTTTGTTGCTTCGTTTGCTATTATTTTCTCCCATTCTGAAGGCTGTCTTTTCACCTTGATTATAGTTTCCTTTGTTGTGCAAAAGCTTTTAAGTTTCATTAGGTCCCATTTGTTTATTTTTGCTTTTATTTCCAATATTCTGGGAGGTGGGTCATAGAGGATCCTGCTGCGATTTATGTCAGAGACTGTTTTGCCTATGTTCTCCTCTAGGAGTTTTATAGTTTCTGGTCTTACATTTAGATCTTTAATTCATTTTGAGTTTATTTTTGTATATGATGTTAGAAAGTGTTCTAGTTTCATTCTTTTACAAGTGGTTGACCAGTTTTCCCAGCACCACCTGTTAAAGAGGTTGTCTTTTTTCCTTTGTATATCCTTGCCTCCTTTGTCGAAGATAAGGTGTCCATAGGTACGTGGATTTATCTCTGGGCTTTCTATTTTGTTCCATTGATCTATATTTCTGTCTTTGTGCCAGTACCACACTGTCTTGATGACTGTGGCTTTGTAGTAGAGTCTGAAGTCAGGCAGGTTGATTCCTCCAGTTCCATTCTTCTTTCTCAAGATTGCTTTGGCTAGCTATTTGAGGTTTTTTGTATTTCCATACAAATTGTGAAATTATTCGTTCTAGTTCTGTGAAGAATACTGTTGGTAGCTTGAAAAGGATCGCATTGACTATAGATTGCTTTGGGTAGTACAGTCATTTTCACAATACTGATTCTTCCAATCCACGAACATGGTATATTTCTCCATCTATTTGTGTCCTCTTTGATTTCTTTCATCAGTGTTTTATAGTTTTATATATATATATAGGTCTTTCGCTTCTTTAGGTAGATATACTCAAATATTTTATTCTTTTTGTTGCAATGGTGAATGGTATTGTTTCCTTACTTTCTCTTTCTGTTCTCATTGTTAGTGTTTAGGAATGCAAGGGATTTCTGTGTGTTAAATTTTATATCCTGCAACTTTAGTATATTCATTGATTAGCTCTAGTAATTTTCTGATAGAGTCTTTAGAGTTTTCTATGTAGAGGATCATGTCATCTCCAAACAGTGAGAGTTTTACTTCTTTTCCTATCTGGATTCCTTTTATTTCATTTTCTGCTCTGATTGCTGTGGCCAACACTTCCAAAACTATGTTGAATAGTAGTGGTAAGAGTGGGCACCCTTGTCTTGTTCCTGACTTTAAGGGAAATGCTTTCAATTTTTCATCATTGAGGATAATGATTGCTGTGGGTTTGTCATATATAGCTTTTATTATGTTGAGGTATGTTCCTTCTATTCCTGCTTTCTGGAGAGTTTTTTATCATAAATGGATGTTGAATTTTGTCAAAGGCTTTTTCTGCACCTATTGAGATAATCATATGGTTTTTATCTTTCAATTTGTTAATGTGGTATATTACATCGATTGATTTGTGGATATTAAAGAATCCTTGCATTCCTGGGATAAAGCCCACTTGGTCATGATGTATGATCTTTTTAATTTGTTGTTGGATTCTGTTTGCGAGAATTTTGTTAAGGATTTTTGCATCTATGTTCATCAGTAATACTGATGCCTGATCTTTCTATCTAGAGTTCTTCTTAGGATTAAATGAGATAAAGAGCTATGGAAATAAGGAGCTCTATGTCAACACAGGGAAAAATTGCAAGAACGTCCATTGAGATTAATAGTTATTACATAAACTTTCATTCATCAGGTATATGACTTCCCTTTCAAACATTAATCTGATCTGAAAAAGTAAATTAAGACAGTTAGTGAAGGGTAAGAATCAAGTTATTCAACTCAGTTCCTTCAACTGGTAAGTATTTGTTGAACACCTAACACATAACAGAAACTGCTGGGACTACAGGCGAGAATACAGATATGAAAACAAAACTTACTGTACTGTGTACAGTAACAATATTGTACATGGTTATTTCCCAGAAGCAGACAAGCTAAAGAGTACTAGCAGATAGGACAGAAAAGGCAGAGACAAGCAGACAGCTTCACAAAGACCTTCCTAAACCATGTTAAAAGACTGTAGACTATATCCTAAGACAATGGGCTATCACTGAAATGAGTTCAAGCAATATCATCAAATTTATATTTTAGGAAAACCACCTTCTGGAATTACCTCAACAAATGCTAAAACATACTTCAAAACACTAGTAATAATTATAATATTAATAATAATAAACCATCAAACTTGAAAAACTGGATGGACCATACTGAGAAACCAAGTTTTATTTCTACCTCATACTATATACAAAACTGGCACCCACATTAAAGACCTAAATATGAAATGTAGAAGTATATAACTAAAAGAAGAAAATGGATAATATTTCCTTGAGATGGGAAAAAAATTTATTCGACTTGGCAAAAACCACACAAATCAAGAGGAGGAAGGATCTGACTTGAAACACATAAGGAGAAAAATAGGCAATGGACATAAAAACCAACATGTAAAAGGTGAAAACATGTAAAGTATAAACCTCGAGAAATCAGAAAATGCAAATTTAAATGAAATACTAGCTTCTATCAATTAGACTGGCAAACATAAAGCTGGGTAGTTCTTAGTATTGTGGGGATATAAAGGAAAATACTCATGCCTTGCTGAAGGGGATTTACTCATGGAACTAGGTGTGTAAATATGCTACAATCTAAACATCTCATTCTTGGGATATATCTATACACCAAAGGAACCTTCCCATAGGTAATATTGTAAACGGTACTATTTGTAGTATCAAGGAGATGGAC